TGTACATTGGAATACTAAATTTGTAAAATACACTAATTTATATATAATGCACTGAAATTCATGATTCACTTATAATGTATATTATATTACGGTTGATGGTTTCTATGTAGAAAACGATTAGTGGAAAACAGATGAATGTACGTATTTTCTACTGTCAAAAGTTACGTTTCATAATATTGATCTTCAAAGTTAGGTTTTGACCAATACAGATGGACGGGGAGATGATAGACGAACTCATTGTGTGCAACTTGAAAAAAATCTTGTTTTCCTTTATATTTTGTTTGGAGCTAGATTGTTTCTTTTTCAAAATGTTCTGTCCATTATCCACTGTGTGTGGGGCTTTATTAATAAAATATTAGCTTTTGTAAGTTAGTTTTCTCAGCAGAATTCATTTTTCAAGCAGTTCTCTGCGCAGATTATTTGTCCTCCAAATCTACCGTGACCGTCCAGGATCGCTAATAATGGTCAACCCCCGACACTCTTCATTTGCCAACCTCGGCAATTTGACTCGGATGGATTCCAGCTGCAGAGTGAATGCCTCACGGCCTTCGGAAATCACCACAAAATAAATATTATCCGCGGAGGCATGGACATAAAGTTTCAGTACTTCTACTTATGGGAGTAGCCGGAAACCGTACACCAGTTACTCGCTATAGTGCCATAACATCGCACTATATAATTTCTTACCCGTATAATGACTGACGTTCGTTAAAAAAACAATAAAATACAGTTAATTCAAACAAAAATAAATGTTAAAAAGTTCCTATACTTCATCACACTATAATCAGGTTGAGGTAATTGACACTTTGAGAAACATTGTTCCAAGAACTGGAAATACGCCCTCAATAGCGTGGTCTTCTTCACTGGAAGCATTTCTATCTGAAAACGGGAATAGTTGCAGTGCCGTTCCTGTACATACAAGTCGACGTTTCATTGTTCGTTCTGTGACAGGTTAGTAAGTATTTCATTATTTAATGTCATAGTAGATTTCTTGATTTGTGTTTACTGTAAACAACGCACAAGATTTTATATTTGACATGCTGTTTGTCGGAGCGGCGTTCTGTGTTTTTTACGCCATCACTGCATGTGTTGACGCGCGTGAACAATGATAACTAACGTTTCCAATAACTCATAATATTATCGTTGTCATACATTGACGAATACAGCTGTTATAATTTCGCTTAATTCCATGATTTTGGTACGTGATAATCAACATTACAGGGGAAACGAATAACGTGACCGTACCGGTATAGCAATGAGGGTGTTTTCTTGGCATTACAGTCATGGTATACATTATAGAACGGCTTTCACGGCTGGCTCATAGAATTGTAACATTTAATGATCCAATTTAAAGACCCCTGCGTATATATTTGATGTTTCTCCACAGCGGGGGTAGGGTGTAGGCGGTATGCGTGCAGACAGCAGCACGAAGGAATTCCACCCTCCCACTGAGTTCACTTCAGTTACACTTGCTTACGTTCTAAATAGATGACACACGATTAACGTGAACCTGAGTGAGAGGCGGAGACGTTTTCCGGGTCGGCTAAATTACCGATTTCTTGAACAATTTGGCGTCCAATATTTCACAATTATCAAACAATTGGTACGTTTTCATAATTAGAAAGTTTTTGGTAACAACACCTCTGGATCTCTACCCGCCGCAAGAATATATTAGAGAATATATTTTAGAGATTGACCCATAGGTGGCACTGAGCAGCGGTCTCATGGTGGCGATTGAAGGGTCGCTTGAATATTCTTGTTCAACATCCACAATTGTAGATATTACGTTTTCAACATACACAACTCTATCTCAACAGAGTAAATTCATAAGGCAACGATTCGAGCGACGCATGCGTTGCATCTGAACCGGCCTTTCGAATTTTCATGTAGGCATGCAAATAAACAATGTATATACGTGTTGTATACGGTCGCGTGGGACCCACTTCGAACCAGACGCGACGTGACGACTGATACGCTTTAATATACTGAACATACCAGTTCATTATATCAGAGGAAGGTATGAGATATCCAAACATCTTAATCATGACTTATAACTTCTATTTCTTAACCTTGGGAGGGGCATTGGAGTATGTGTAATCAACATTGACAATCGATAGATTTGTTTGAAATGTTGTCGTCTGCCACTGGAACTCAACATTGAACCTGGGTGTTTCAAAGACTCGAAAGCTTTGGTCCTCAAACCAAACGAAAAATAGGATATAACCCCATGTTAGTTCAGGCAAGAAAACAAATTTCAATATCCAGATGTGCGTTGTAAAGGATGGAGTAGACTCTGAAATATCGAGGTGTCGTGAAAAGGCCAGTAAAGGGGAGGGCGTCACTCCATGGGATAATCCATGTCGTTAATGGTGAGCAGAATTTTCTCTTGAAACAGACTTACTATTTTGAAATCGAGGGGGTCACGGTATTCAAAAGTTTTTCTTCACATATGTTTTTTTTTATTATTGTAGCGTTATATGTATTTCATTACCACGTGTTAAAGAAATTGCTGACTTTTCATTGTGAATATTAAACACTAGCTGACTCTTCTACTCACTCCCATTTGTTCAAAGGCCATTTATCTGTTTCGAGGGAACATTTTGCTCGCTATTTACGAACAAGTATTTCCTGACTGATTTTGTGAGCAAAATTCTGCTGACTTGCAAAATGTTGTTCACCGAATTTTTGCTCACCGGTTACCTACGCTCTCCCCATACGTATATAATAAAGCGTACACCATTGGTTTTAGACGCATATGTTATCGACCATAATGCCAACATTAGTTGAACTATTCAATTTTGCATCCGTTGAGGGGGCTCAGACATATGTTCGGGACGTATCGTCTACAACTAAATTTGTTGAGATGAGAATTATTTCTGTCACGACATTCCATAATTATTGGAGAGTTTACGCTTGAGCTTTCAGACTGTTAAAACACGAATCATACCTTGTAATATTTATTACTGAGTCAGTGTGTTTGATGCCAGGATGGAGCGGGAACTCTTCCGCTATTGCCGCAGGGGTTGCATCCACCTCCGTTTGCGATTCATTTGATGTTTACGTTTGACATCAATTTCCGACCCTACGATGATATTTCTACCCACACACATTCCACGATATGAGCCACAAGGCTGGAAAAACACAACACTCGAACAGCCGTCTTAACTCAGGGTTAAAACAATTTTAAACCGGTTAATCCAAGGTGATCTTGGATATAATCGGTTTCGGGTTCTGATAGACATCGACAGTCTTGTTGCCGTGTCACTGCCAGTGTGGTCTTTGTGGATTTCAATGTCACAGCTGGTTTTAATTTGACAGTGAAATAAAACACAAATAAATATGATTTCTTTTGAATAAAGTTAACCAACTTGTCATTAATAGTATCACACCTCGCTGCTACCAGGGGATAATTCCAATAAAAAGATTTCAGTGACGTGTCACCTAGTAACTGTTCAACGAGAAAAACATACCGAAATCATGATCATGGTTCTAAAATGTTCGACAAAGTGTTTAGTTTAAAATCGGCCCAGAAGTCTATGGAAATAAATCATTGTCAGTGTTTTTGCGGCCTACTTTTTAAGAGGAGAAATTTCCAGACTCATGATATTATTTATTCTCTTCTTTTGAGCACGGGTGATGCAGTCACGACTCTTAACATTCATTTTTTGATGTGATATAATATTTTCGATTTATTTAGATTGTACCAAAGTGATTTGATAATAGGTTGCTATGGAGGTTGATTATTTGGAGTACCGTCCGGGATTCGCACTTAGTCAGACAATATACAGTGCGATGGTTTCGTGTGTCTGTGCATTGCGTGGTACAATTACGGTTTCATTGCAGTTGAAAACTCACACACATATTGTGTGTTTACTCCCATTATATCGGTATACTCATTGCGTTCGATGGAATGTATTATGTAACAGTATCAATGTAACAAACAGTTCGTATCAAATACACATAGCAATTAATAACAACTTATCATTTCTGATATGACGTATAACACACTGGGGAGTAGTCACCGGGCAATACAATAGGCGTGTATCCCTAGTACATCCGGACCCCACCTTCTTTCCAGATGGCCTAAATGCGAAAATGAATACCCCTTTAACAATATGACTTTCACAATGTAACATATCACATACAACAGACGAAATTTCGCGTTTGACTGTTATCCGTAGCGGCAGCAGAGTTCAGAAAAATATGATTTTTAATCTTCCTCGATATTTTCAACTCGTCACTCGCCCTACATATCTGAAAAGGGTTAAGACCACGTGGACAATCGAAAGGATGATACATAAGATAAAACAATCAATTATAAGCCGTGTAAAGTACGTGGGTAGTGTGGTCACGTGGGTTATATTCTATTGGTAGAAGTAGTTTACCCCAATATGATTTGAAAGTCTCGAACGAGGCTGGTGCATGGAGTGATTTCAGAGAAGCGGCGCGTAGATTCTTGAATGGGATGTATTTCAACTCGCTTCCACGATAGTTAATTAATTCATTTGTTAATGAATTTTCTCTGAGTAGTGCAAAATGCATATTCAATATGCTAATTAGCTTATTACGCGAGTTTCATCACCGCTGTCATTATGTACAAGGTCGTTGTCGTCTAATAACTGCTACAATAATTGGTACATAGGAAATACAATGCCAGCATATCTATTTAGTCGGTCAAAGAAGGTCAACCAGTAAGTTAGCAATATAGAGTTTATTATACTTATTCGGTCAGAGCAGGGAGCTCATTACAATTCTCTGGTCAGAGATATTCAAGGACATACGAATTGCCATTGTTATTACATGTACTGTGTTAAGTAACATGTTGACAAGCTGCTGTGTACGCACGATGCATTGCGTAACGATATAGTTGAGGTGAGGAAATGACCATATTTTGTCAGTGCACAATGCACACGGGAAAAAAAACGTAACGGTACTTGTGGCGAAACGCGATTAGGTGGAATGGATTTGGGTTTTAGTGATAATCTAAACACGTGATCGGTGTTATTTCTACTTGATGCAGGTAGCGGACCGATCCAAGTGACAGTAGTGTTACGATACCGTACGGGTAAAGAGACGAGGATAGATACACTGTCGGAGTTTCCACACACGTTCCGTGTCAATGTTCCTGGACTTCAGCAAAAATGTCTAATTTGAAAGAATCTCTTGTGCTGGAACAGTTATTTCTCTCGGTATGCCGAAGAGGAGACAAGAAAGAGATCCTCGCTGCACTAGAAAAACGGAGTCTGTTCGATGTAAACTGCGTCGACGCTGATGGGAAATCGGCATTGGTGATAGCGGTGGAGTCCGCTCAAACAGGTGAGATTTAAACCATTTACACGTCGAAATGATGTTGTAACAGCGCGAGAGCTGCAGTGTCCCATACTTGTGATATTGTGGGTATGAAATTTATACCGAACAATTGAATTATTATAATAGCGTAATTGGTTTGTTTTATGTGTATAATTATGTACGAGCTAGAACATACGAGTACGAAAATATATTCTACCACAGACATTGGCGACACAAAGCAACCACTCTTCATCGTGGCGAAAACACGCGTTAGTTCTTTATTTGAGAAGCTAAGTAAACAAATACTAAATTGTTTCTGATCATGTTCGCTCAAATGCGAAGCACTATTCCAACATGATAGTTAACTAAGCACATCACATTTTCTTTGTGTGGTGAGCTAATATTAGCGACGATTTTGTTTTGTTTACATGCATCTTGACCACGTCTGCGCTAAGTGGCACTGTTAAACTAACTCTAACATGATAGAATCTGGCTAACGACTTGCCGAACATAAAACGACCGAGGTGAAGGCGAGGTACGGCGCTCAGGCTATGTTTAACATCGAAGTTGAGTGGTTGACGTTAAAACCTGACCAGCGTCATACCCACCCGCATAACGCGCCCAACAATGACTGAATCTATTTCAATTTCTAAGCCTTTTTTTCACCAGGATGTATACACTTTTCAATGTATTGACGTTATCATAATGTTAGGCAAGTGCCATATGTTTATATTGGCACGAGTTATAACTCAAATGAAATGTTATCAGCAAAGCATACATGTGGAAACAAACAATGTATTTGATACGAATATTTTACGTCGCGTGGGACCCATATCGAACATGATCGTTATGACGCACGGAAAGACACGTTTACAATAGTTCACTACTGTCCATTTCACTCATCGTCAACTCTATTAATGTGTCATTTAGGCAATCGGAAACCATACTCTCAATTTTTTGGAAGTTGAATTTTCAGGTTTTAATTATTCTTGTTAAAATAGGCAAGGATATGTGCGTGCTGAATCCTGGTGTAATATTGTCGTTTTGATTAGATCTATAGAAAATCAGACAATACTGAAAAAGCTGTTGATAGTAATAAGTGGTCCAATAGGAATAAGTTAATTTGACCATTTATATGGCGTGCAAGCACACTTTGTTCAGTCAAGCAGATGGACACGTCGGCAAGTGATAACATACAACCTGGTTGCCAGCGACAGGTAAATTTTAGTCCAACATTTACCTGTCGTGCCGTGTCTCGAGAGTATTTTAGTGATTATAGTTATGAACGAGGGTGTATAAAAATTGAGGAAACGATGACGCACTCGAACAAAAATTACCACGCGTTACGATTGGCAAGGCAACCCCAATAACTGATTTGGCAACTTGAAAAAATGCCTTGCTGACTAAAGAAATTTTTAAAATGGTCGACTGAGGAGAACGCTACTGGGAAACCACAAACTTGTTACCATGGAAACAATATGATAGTCCTCCATTAATCATTTGGAGGACATTGACTTTTTCAAACTGCAATGGCGTCACAATATATATTTATATATACTACAATACAATATATATATATATATATATATATATATACTGGTCGAGCTGACTCAGGGTTGTAATTTAAACACGTGTTTATGACAAGTATCATCATTACCACAATTTGTTGAAGTGTGTATATTCGTACACCAGACGCGGGTTGGTATAAAAAAAATATAGGGACAGAGTTCATCGTGACGCACCAATAATAACACAGGTGAAATAGAACACTGGTGTACTAGTAGTCTAATATTAGTATTACGATGAATACTAGTTAAAGTGACACTGCGAATAAATTGAATTATTTTGACTAAGTTTAAATAAGGGCATGTGAAATTACGGTGGTTAGAGGTTTAACATTTAAAGCGCGGTGGTCGTAGCGCAGCACGTGTTCGAATTTCATGTAAATAAACAATGTATTTTACACGCGTTGTATACGTCGCTATACGACGACTGCCGCGCTTTAAAAACAATCATTGAGCTTCTACATTAGTACTTGACGAATACATTCAGAAAACCATAGGTTTTACCGCACGCTGACGTCATGATTGTGCGCCACGTCACGTCTCCGGGTTACAATAAGTAGCTGCGTTTGTTTTTAGTCCACCTTTCAGTTTCGGTACCGCCTTGTTGCAGTTCAATGTCCATAGGATGCAACACGTTGAATATGACGTAATTGAAAACGAAATGACATTTTTCGTTATGGCATAGACCAAACCCAAATGCAGATACGCTTTTTGTTCATTATTTGCCATTTTCACTGACGACCCGGAATATACACCATTTGCAAATGGCCGTCGAGGTCTCGTTGAGAACGACAGCCACGTGACCTGTTTTGTTCATCAACTAGTGTTTCATTCTCTCCCGTCATCATGCTCACTTTCAAAATACCATGGTTACATAGTTACCAATTACCATGGTTACATAGGTCAGAGGAACAAAGTCTCGTGACTCTCTAGGCGGCCTATGGAAATAATACCTTTCGTTAAGACATCGAAACGAGTTTTTTCAACTCAGATGCAGATTCGCTGTTTCTTGTTCAATTTTTAGCTCCGCTGTCGACTTCGTCGAGTGGAGCTTATCATATGAGTGTTTATCCGTCGTCGTCCGTCGTCGTCGTCCGTCGTCCGTGTCAACTCTTTACATTTTCAACTTCTTCTTGAAAACTACAATTCTTATTGCTTTGATACTTGGTGTATATGTACCTTGGGCAAACCTCTCTTAGATTTGTTTATTTTGTGATGATATCTTCATTTCTCTAATTTTGGTGAATATTTTTGTCATTTTTGGTAAAAAGTGATATTTTCTACTTCTTGTTAAAATACGCAAGTCCAATTACTTTGATATTATATATATATGGGTATTACATGTGGACCTCTCTCAGATTTGTTCATTTCGTGATGAATATTTTTGTCATTTTTCAACTTTTATATATATAGGTACTACAGGTAGACCTCTCTCAGATTTGTTCATTTGTGGAAATGATATCTTCAATTCTCTAATTTTAATGAATATTTTTGTCAAAAGTGATTTTTTCAAATTCTTATTGAAAACTGCAAGTCTGATTGCTCTGATACAAGATACTACACATATTGTTAATTAATTTTCCAGTGATATTTTTTGTTCTTTAATTGGAATGTGCATTGCTAACAGCGGAGCTATCTCAATCGACTGACAGGCTGCTTGTTTCTTGTTTATCATTTTTATCGAAGACAAAGAATTTAAATAATCTCAAAAGATCTTTAATCTAGCATGGAGTTGGCACAACATGAACTCGCGATGGGTTAATCCATGACAGAATGATTTTCCAGTCCTGGTTGTGTAACTAAATTCAAATTAGTATTTTTAATATCGCAATAAACAACCCATAATTATACCAGCTTGCATTTAATTTGAGTGACAACGCATTACACTATTATCAGGTATAGATATGTTGTGAAATCCATTACTGTCACATTTAATTAAACCATCGCACCGAGGGTGGTCATGTGACCATTGCGTTCAAGTACTCCCATTGACACTGTTAATGAATCTCGATTATACTTAAACTACAACTTTATTTAATCAACACACACTCTCGTCAACTATAAATCGATTCCCTTGCAGCAATCGATAACTATTGTCCAAACCTATCGATACATTTTGCTCTATTAAGGCAATACTCGGGCGATTTTAACCCATTACCTTTTTGTCCTAAAACAAAAAACAGCAAAAAGTTTTATATTATTTGTTGGTTTAAGTGTGATGATTGAAACGAAATTTCGTATTTCAAATTTATACTCGCCCCGGCCTCCGGAAAACATCTATTCTTGACAAACAAAAATTTGTTCCAACCCGGGGGCCGCGTTTATATTATGTGAGGGCGTGTATGAAGTGTATGATTAATATGGGTAGAGTCAGTGTTAATAACATGACACAACCACGCCCTCGAATATCATAAAAAACCTCTTAACAGCAGCTCATAATTTGCATGATTCAGGCTGGCACTGTTACGTAACATCACATGGTGTTATGGAATAGCTGTGGCAGCAGGTGTCAACAAAAGTATCGTCTATTTCTGTGCCATTCCTGTTACGTCGTGCGACCAACAACCATTCACCGCTTAATGTCAAATTTAAAAATGAAATATCTTCTTTTGTTATTCTTTCGAAGTTAAATATATTGGCATATTTATACCTCAAAGTGTTTCTGAAAACATTATGTTTTAGTAATAAAAAATAGTACCACATTCAAAAGATGGTTGATAAACAAAACAAATAAATGACTCGATACTAACGAACAATACGTGCCACAATAATGCACAATACATTAATTTGACGGCTGTATACGACTCTTCCCTGTAAAGTAATGAATGCTTAGACCGTTTTACTCAATTGACTGAAAACACCTCATGCACAGCTGCCGTCATTTCTCATTCAGTACCAATCCGCAAATATCTGAAATATAGTAATTCCCAACATTAATGTAGACAATTGACAGATGGGCAAACGAACGACGGGCATATGTTGTCTGTTATTAATATGACTCCTGTGACTTTGTTAAAATTCGTTGAAGATACGCGCCAATTGTTATCAGTGTTACTCAGTCACCTT